GTACCGCAAGGCCACAAACTAGGTCCTATTCTCTTCTCTCTATGTATAAATGGATTGTGTTCACTACCAAGCAATGGGGATATTATAAGCTTTGCCGATGATACAGCCATCTTATCTTTTACAAAGCAAATTCTTGGGAAGAACTTAAAAACAAGGCGGAAACTGACTTAATACTCGTAAAAAACTGGTTTGATCACAAATTACTGACACTACATTTTCAAAAAACGCACTGTATGCTTTTCAGTTGCAACGAATTTAATATTTTTAATAAATGATACATGTATCCATCGGATCGTTCGTATGCAGATGTTGGACTATTTGATATTAGACAATTGTATTTCTACAAAGTAAATACCAAATACCATTTTACAAAATCTGAAATATACTTACCGATTCATGACTATAACACCAGACACAAACACATCTCCAATGTACCTTTTATGTCAAAAACTATTGGTCAAAAATCTTACAGTTATTTAGCTCCGAAGATTTATAACACATTATCAACTGATGTTAAAATGATTACGAGTATTCATTTATTGAAAAAAACGTTAAAAAAATATATATTTGATACGCCCAGAAAAACAATTCGCGATATTTAGTCAGTATATTAGTTAATGCACAAATACTTCTTTATAATAATTGATAACTATAAAAAAACCATTATTGTTATTTTTGTTGAAAATTGTACGTGTATATATATTTTTAACTAAATTGTTTGTCTAAATAATGTAATGTGATATTTTAACAATTGTGAAGAGATTGATAGGTGAATATTTTTGTTTGTCCATATAGATTTCTTGTTTTCTCATGTTTTTATTGTTGTTCTTTTATTTAAGCTTATAGTTAGTAGTTATATGTTAATGTTTAATTCCAAAACAAGTATTATTCACTTTTTGGATATCTATTTTGTTTATTTACTTGTATTTTAAGTTTATGTGAAATTAACATCTTCCATTTTTATCAAAGAATTTACTGTACCTACCCATAATTTATTTTTATTGGACATTGTAATTTCATAATTAAATAAATAAACATCTTAATTGTAGCAAAATATTCAGTTAATAGACCAGGGTCGATAATTTTTGAAACCAAAAAAAATTATAGTAGGATGAAACCCATTGGAAAAGAAAGAGAATATAACAGAAATGAAAGGAAAAATAATTTACGGGCGATCTGAGGTCGGGAAGGGGTAGGGGGTGAGTTTTTAAGGGTAAAAAACGGTTTCCCTTGATTTCCAGAAAAACTACAAGTCTTATGGAAAAAAGTTAAATGACAAAGTTGTAGGTAATAAAAAGATCTACAACTTTTGTATTTACACTTTTTTCACATAACCTCAAAATTTATGTGAAAAATTCAAATAACCAAGTTTTTGGTTTTTTATTTTTATCTTTTACAGAAAAAATTTTTTTTTCACGAAATTTGGTGAAAACTTACCTATTTATGTCCCAAATACGCTGTAATTTTTTTGATTTGAAATATTTATTTTTTCACCTTATTTTTACTTAATATCGAAAAAGCACCCTAATTTTCAATCGAAAATTCTCACGTCAAAATATCTGCTTTTTTAAAAACGTCGGTGGGCTTTTTCTTCGTTGAAATTTCTACTTTCTGAAGGTGTAAAATTACCTACAACTTTGCCATTTAACTTTTTTCCATAAGACTTCTAGTTTTTCCGGAAATAAGATAAACCGTTTTTTATCCTTAAAAACTCACCCCCTTCCCCTTCCTGATCTCAGATCGCCCGTAAATTATTTTTCTTTTCATTTCTGTTATATTCTTTTCCTTTTCCAATGGGTTTCATCCTACTATAATTTTTTTTTCACTTTTTACCATTTTTAAAGGCTTAAGCACTGGTCTATAAATTAAAGTTAACGTAAATATATTTATAAACTCATCAAAAAATTAAGAGAGCAAATTTTTTATCTGAGGCCTGAAGATTCCAGTTTTGAAATCTTGAGATGAAAAATTTTTTTTGAGCATAATTTTCGATGCAATCATCAAAAGAAATAATGCAAAGCAAAAATTTAAAATTTTTTTTTTCAAAACTGCCTATGGGCTCAGAATTTTTTTTTCTTTCTTAATCAGTCATTTAGCCTGATTCCTCAGCTTCAATTTGGTTTTTTTAATTTTCTGTACGATTATTATTTATTGTTGAGATACCGGCTATTGAATGAAGTCAGCTTTTTTTGATCATCGTTATTTCATGAACATAATCGTACGTTGACAGTTTTGAAAAAAAATTGTAAAATTTTTGTTTTGCATTATTTGTTTTGATTGCACCGAGAGTGATGCTTAAAAATATTTTTCATCTGAAGGATTTCAAAACTAGAGTCCTCGAGCTTCAAAACGCTTCTCTTTTTCCTCAATCCACCATTATTCACGAAGTGACGGTCTTTTGAAAATCATTTAAAAAATTGAAAGTTTTTGCTGAGTGTATAATAAAAATTGTTTATCATCTCCAAAATGCGAAAAATTGGAAATCAATTGATTCCTCTGTAAATGTTTGAGGTGCTGTTCAGAATGACAATATACCAGCGAAATCTCCAATAATCTCTCCTCATTAATCAATATATTATTTTCACCTTCTGCAAAAATCTGTACAGTGACCTGACATTGATTATTTGAAATCAATTCCGGTTTTTATTTAATTCACTTCCGGTTAAATTTAAAGATGCAAGACTATAAATTTTTTATTGTACAGACTATGCTAATGAAGAGATCCATGTTAATTATACTATACCTATTACCGTTTTGTGTAGGTAGTAATTGGATCTATCTAGTAATTAATTAATTCCAGAACTTTAATATTCCTTCAGTTCAGGAAGCGCAGTCGCATCTCTAGGCCGATAGGTCACGTTTTAGCTAGGTAAAATAGTTTTGAGTGCATCTCCACTTCGTAGACTGCAAAAATTAATTCATCTCATCACAGCTGACCTAGTTTCTGTGCGAGTTGGATACATTAGCAAGGGGGAATATCGGAAAACGCAAATTGACTGCAGTATTACTTCTTGTTTCCATTAAAATATTCATATATGTATATCCTTTTTTTAGTCGCTGTATGAAGTTATGATGAACCAATTCGAAACTGTAGCAAATTTTTTGCAATAACAAACCGCTACAATAATGAGTAATTTAAACATAATATGAAAACTACAAATAAAAATTGGAGCCTACAGAATGTGCGAGAAATGTTGTGGGTTTTCCTTAGATGTGATGCAACTTGTTTTAACATATTTTCCTTTACAGTGTTGGAAAACTCGAATGCTGGGGTGTGAATAGGGGCGGTTGTACTTTATTGATTGTTTTTTAAGTAAAATTTGTGGACAGTGTATTTAAACTAAAATATAAGTCAGACTGAAACAGGGCAAAAAAGTTATTTTAAGTAAAAAGTATCAAATGAATATAGGCCTAAATTTCAGATTTAAATGAAACTTATTAGATTGTCGATGGCAATAATCTTATCGAGGAATATTTACAGTAGCGGAGACACAGTGGTAATTGAGATTTTTTTCTTCAAAAATTGTTCGTGTTGTACACCGAAAAAAAAGTATTTGTATCAAATGAGCAGACAGTTTTAAATATAAAAGTGCGATACCTTAAAATCAAATGCTGTACATTTGAATCAAGAAATTTTTTTGCATGTAGTTAAAGTTTGATTCACTCGATTGGAACACGCTGTATCTTTTTTTTCTCGAAAATAAGGAGATTTTAGGACAAATATATCCGGATTATTATTTTGACGTCCCAGGAATTTCTTAACATTTCTGTTACTGTATATTCAATGTCGATCGGTAGTGTTGATGTAGTTCTCTTGCTCAAAAATTTGTGGAATTCGTACTACTATATTTATACGTATTTAGTCTGAAAATCAGTTACCGGGTGGCATTTTGATTTCAAGGTGAAACGAAACGGTCGAAGCAGTCTTTTGTATCAACAGAATAATCATTTCATTGTCTTCTATTATCCAATCAGTGGCATTATTTTCAATCGGCATGTTCTAACAGTGCGCAATATCTTGTTAAATGTGTGTAAAAATCTTTTCGAAATATTATTAAAACCTCTGGATTAGTGATTCAAGTAGACTAATACTTGTATTACCAACAACCGGATGTTTTTAAATAAAAGTAGTTACGATTATGAAAATAAAGACCTCTTTATGTTTTAATCAGCCACACATTTGTCAGATAAATCTGTGATTTTACTAGTGCGTTTATTCACATACAGAGCAGTCTAGAAAACAAAACAATGCACCGTATAAAAGTTGATAAGATAACAGATGCAGATTTTTTTTCTAATTTTCACCGTAATTATGTCGCAAAGTATACTACGGTAACTAGCATGGAAAATGAATAAAATGTCTTATTTATCCTGCAAGATCCTAAAAATAAAGTAATCAGTTGTGTGGAGCAGTGGTGTAATTTTTATAGATAAAAAATATTCATCAGGGTTTTTTTAATACCCTTGTACCATATTTCAAAATAACAGTCTTTTATTTACAAATAAAACCACTTGCAAATTGTTATTAAGAGATAATTTTCGAAAAAATTGTTATTTTCTATATGTTTGCAATAAAAAGTGAGATATTAGTGCACGAATTGACTACTAGGCTTTGAATATTAAATGACAAATTGTTTGAAATAAGTGACAGACGAGCTATTTTTTAAAGCTTCATGTTCTAAATCCCGATAAAATGACACGAAATAATAGAAACTTCTAATATTTTAAACAACACAAAATCCAAGAAGGAAAGTCCTATGCTTATGCCTACAGCTACGACCTTTTGCAAAGAAATCTGTAATATATTATTTATGTAATAGGAAAACATAAGTTACAGGAAGTCGTTTTGTGCAAGTAACAAAAATATATCTGTGCAGACTTTATTACCCTTTTTGTTTGCAATTACAGGTTCATATGAACTTTTTTCATTCAGTTGTGATTAAAATTTGATTAAAAGTTTTAGTATAGTTCAAATAATTAGAGAAAATATTCTGACTTACCCCTGGTACACCTGGTGCACCTTTTTCTGGGATAGGATGCGTGCCTGAGGGAGTGATCGTCGATATCGATGTTTTTTGCGGCGCCCTCTTTCTCCTGCGGAGGGAAGTCCTCTTTGAAGCTCCTCGAGGACGATGCCGTGCTGTACGTCCTATCTCTAGCTACGAAAGTGCCAATGGAGTGCCTCCTGTGGCCGTTGCGTTTGGCAGCCGGAAGGTTGTAATACCTAAAAAGTTGGTAGAAAGTTCAACATTAAACATAATTTTACCTTAGTCCAAAACTTGTCTATTAAGAGATACAATGTGTTATGAAGTTACAATATTTTTAAATAAAAGCTTACTGGAACAGTTAAAATGTAATCATCTCGTAACGTTTAACATGTAACTCGTACATATTTATTACTAAAAAAATCACGAAGAAATATCAACATTTAGTTCAGATTGACTACTACAGGAAAACATCAAAACATCTCTTTCAATATCAACTTTTGGACTAATATCTAGCAGTTGCTCAATGGCCCATTAATTTTGGGACACTCAGTATAAAGGGTGTAACAGTGACGTTGCGACAAACTTAAAGAATGATTCCTCTCCTCAAAATAAACAATTAACAGGCACCATTTTTTATCAAGAACCGTTTAGGATACACATTTTCGACTTACTCAATGCCCATTGATAATATTCCTATTTTTTATTATTCGAGTTGATAGTATAGGATGAAGATCTGAACACTGGGCGCAAAATAAGTAAAAATGCTGATAAATTTCGAAGTTAGTAGAGTGCAGTCATCTACGATTTGAACAAATAGTAACTAATTGCAATTAGAAGAGGTTTAAAGCATCATAATGTGCATAGTTACGGACAAGTTGAATCTATTTTTCTGGTTATGTTTCATTCTGAAGATCGTAAATTTGTGCAGAATAATACTACTAACGCTAAAGTGTAAATTGTCAAAAAGTCAAATGTTATTCAAATCTACAGTGTGTCCGCGGATTGAGTTTACAAGAGGACAAATGGACCAAAAAGTGAAAGATGCGAAAAAAAGACATTCTTGCTCAAAGTTTTTGCTTGAAAAATTAATAAGAGACACGTTATCAAAAATTAAATTTGAAGAAATATGACCATAACGATGCTGCCACAGTTTTAGTTCTGCAGTCTGTTAGAGAAACCTCTGAGATATCCCTTAGAAATTGTGCTAAACAGTTAGAAGATGTGGAAAAAGTCGTATTCAGAAGATTAAAAAAAAATGAAATAAAATATTTCCGTTCAAACCACACTTTAATCAAACATTGTAGTCGAGGAAATAAAGCACAAAAAGAGCCGAAATCTCCGAAAATTTTCGATCAAGTCGTACCAAGATGGGTTTTTTTGCATTTGCTTTCTAAAATTATGTGGAAAAAATATCTCAACCTTGTATTATGTTTTTCGGCCAAATTGCATTCGTGCAGTGCAAAATGCATCCGGAAAATGCATTTTTTAAAGTCACAAAATTCATAAGTCGATTAATAATGCCTGGAATGGACTCAAATCAGAGTCCTGGGGGTTTTCGAGGTGGCTGATCCTGAATATGACCTTCAAATAGGTCCATCGCCGACCTGGAGCTTAGGATTAATGATGAACGTCATCTCCGAGGCTTCTCCTGAATTTCACTCTTAAATGCAACGAGACTTGACACCCGGAGGTTTTTCGGGTCGCTGATTCCTAATCTGGCGTCGGCGAACACCCCTTTGACACCTAGTGCACCGGAACCTGGACATGGACGTCATCTCCGGGAGTATTCCTGTAAAATTCGCGTAAACGAGCCGAAAATCGCATCAGGGTTTTTTTCGGGGCGGATACGACTTGATCGAAAAATTTCGGATGCTCAGTGCTTTATTTCTCGACTATTGGAAGAGGAAGATGAAGCGAAAAGACTAGATTTTTGTTTGTGGGTCGGAGACAAAATTTTAAATGGAAATGTTGATTTTTATAAGTTTATTATGTTTTCTGATGAATGTACATTTTCTACTAATGGAACTGTAGCATCCTAGCATGTCAGATACTGGCTCCAGGAAACCCTGAATTTAGAATAATGACAAGAAGACAATGTTTTACAAAGTTGAACGTGTGATGCGCGATATCTGTTCATGGCATTATAGGCCCATATTTTGACAATAACACCTGCAATAGAATATCGTACTTAGAAATGCTTGATACATTTTTTAACGATGAACTCGAAAATTTACCATTAAGTTTTCGCCAAAAATATATTGAGGTAACAGAATGGCTTAACCATAGATTTGGTCCAAGATGGTAGAAATGGTCTAATTTTCTGGCCCCCAAGAAACCCTGTCTTAACTATGGCCAATATGTTTCTATGGGGCCATTTAAACCAAATTGTTTATTTAATTTATTGAAATGCTAAAAGTCAGAATTACCCAGGCTGCCCGTTCAATATTCTAGGAAGAAATTAGAAATTCCTTAAGTGTTTTTGAAATTTGATATCTTCATTATATTGTTTTGTTGGCTTTTTTTGCTTAATCGTTGTAATTATATTCGTATTATTTAAAAATTACATTTGAGTTAGACGTATTTTACTTTTGTACTTTGTTCCCTGTAAAAAAATAAATTTTTGATAACGTGCCTTATTCATTTTTCAAGCAAAAACATTTATCAAGAATGTTACTCTTACGCAAAATAACATTTTTGTGTTTTTGACCCGCCCTGTACAACCAAATTGAAGTTCGTCATGGTGGCGAATTTTGTCAAAATGATTTCCTTAACTTATTTAACTTATTAATTTATACATGAAACTAAATGGTGGTAGATTTCAATGTCAGTAAGAAAAGGTATTCTTGTGTAAAATTGGTAAGAGAAAATGATCCATTTTCATTCAAAGTCCGATAGCTCAGCGAGAAATGGTCGTATGGAGACCAAAAATTGAAGCTAAATGAACAACCTATCTAATCCATAAGGTGGTTAAGTTGGAATTTTTTTTTTCAAGTCCGTACACAAAAAATAAGATCGAAAAAAATTTCGAAAAATTTTTCTTCATGATATTCATTACGATTGCGCGATACGTGTTATTTGAAAAAAATTTTTTTTGCAAGATCCGAAAATTAGAAACTTCAAGCTTCAAATTGCTTTTTTATTTACTCCAATACGACCATTTTTATCAAAGATACAGGCATTTGAAAAATCGCCGAAAATTTAAATTTTTTTTTTGACCCCTTAATTTTTTCCATTAGTGTAGTAATGCAAGGCAAAAATTTTACAATTTTTTTTTCAAAGCTGCCCATGGTCTCAGAAAATTTTTTCTGGCTTAATCAATGACAGGGTCATTTAGCTTGATTCCTCAGCTTCAATTTTTATGAACAAAAGGACCCTTTACGTTTTTTGTTCATGTTTTTTGGGTCTTTTTCATAAATTACCTTAGCTATTAGGAGTACTCTTAAATAGTTGTGGCATGAAGTGGATATGTCGCGATATTTTAAAATAAACTAAAAAACTAGGCAAATAAAACTACTTTTATAGTTAATTACTGTTCTTGGTCAAAGTCGAATTGAATACACGACGCCAACACTCTACTACTCACAGCACGATCTCGCACAATCTGATAACACCCAAATTACTGACCTTGCGCTCTCTTCCGTGATGAACACCTCGTCTCCGGAGAGACTATCGGCCTGCTCCTCGCTGGTGGCCAAGGGGATGTAGCTCAGATCGCCGACGATGTCCGCCCTGTTGCTCTTCAGCGAGTTGGACCTGCTCGCGGGATGCTTGAAGGCCAGATCGGGAGCTATGTCGCTCAGCCTGGGCTCTCCCATGATCAGCAACTCCTGATTCGAATCGGCCGAGTTGCTGCTGACCGAACGCAGGTAACTCTTCTTGTCGCGACAGACGTTCTTGGCTCTCGGCGGCGTCAGCTGTCTCGTGAGGGAGCACTCGGAGGCGCTGCTGGCGCTCTCCCCGTTGCCCATCGAGAAGTACGAGGGGTTGTCTACGAAAAACATGGGTCAACTGAGCGGCTCTGCTGCTCGGGTACGCAGTGGGACTGAGTGCGGTGCGGCTCCGCATACTAATTTTGGTTCTCTCTTTGGTCAAGATGTCTCTGGGACCCGATGGGTGCCGGGAGTGGGGGGGTGGATGGTGCCCGGGCCGGGTGGAGGGGGCGCAAGGAGGAAGTTGAGTGAGGTTCCGACAGGATGCGATCGGGTTAGGTGGCGCATTCAAAGGTGCGATTAGGCGCAGGGTCGGAGTGACGGGAGGGCTTTCAGTAACTGCTTGACTTGATCAAGTTTTTTAAAAAATAAGTTCAAAATCTGTCAATCTAAAAATCAATAAATGTAAAGAAATCCGGAAATGTAGAAGACGTCTAACCCCGGAAACAAGATTCTTAACGGAAACAACTACTCTGCGGACTACATGCCTCAACACGCATTGAATTATATCAGCAATATCTAGTGAACAGTTAGTAATATTTATCTAAAATAATAAGCATTAAAAATGCTCTGATAAAAATTGTAGAAATTTACTCTACATGTTTGAAATTATTTTTTTACAATGTAAATTAATTCAATACGTATTGTGGAATTACGCTTTAGAGTGTACATTTTTTTATTAATTTTTATTATTTTTTATGTATTTTTCCTAATATTTATATGTTTTTACTATTTTTGCGTAAATATATGATTAACGGTGTGACTTTACAGTGACTTTTTTGGCTCAAATAATTATAACAGTCACGTTATCACCAGGTGTGGTGTTATTATAACGCGTATGTGTACCGTTTCGCTAGTGGTCTAGCAGACCACATGTTTATATTGTTTTGGGCATGCCAATGCAGCGTAATGTTTTAACAACCTATACAGGCTGTTACAAATTCGCTTCTCACTACAGGGGTCTCGAAAACGGTAGGAGATACAGACTAGCTTTAATGGGGGTAAAGTTGCGTAATCAGGGGACCGACATTATGCCTCTAAAAAATCAAGGCTAACATGATTAGTTTTCGAAATATTTGATTTTTGTCAAAGGTGAAGCCAGAACAACAAGTATAAAATCTATTTCTTTGAAAAGTTATATTATTTCAATATCTCGGCTACATCATTTTACTAAATATTGTTGGTATAATTCAATGCTTGTCAATTTTGTCTATGCGGTTAGAGATATTATTTGCGTACCTAGATTTTTTGTTTCAAAGAACATTGTTTGACGTTATTTGACAAGATTGTGTTAATTAACTTAATATCTTTGATATTTTATCATTACCACTTAGCTTGCAGTTTGGAAAATCTTATTGCCCTTACTTACCAAAGCGTTAAAGAAAAAGTTGTCAGTTTTCATTCATAAGTTATTTTTTTTTTAACAGTACAGTTCTGATGTAAGTAAATTTGTATAAATCATTTATATTATAAAAAACGTCATTTGAATTAGTTTTTTAGGACTAAATGTTTCAATAGTTACTATCATTAAGCAACAATTCTATTAGAAGACGTATAGAAGGAAAATAATCAGACATTGTTGTGGGGATGAAATGTTTATATAATTCTAAATTTATATAATTGCAATATAAATGTAGTATATTTATATTTTTATAATATATTAATTGCAAAGATTAAAGTTAACATTTAGGATTTCTGTCCTGTAAATACAAATATTGTTTATAATTACTGGTTCTTAATAGATGCCATATTAAAATGGAAACAAGGGAAGTCAGATCTTCTGCATTTTTCAGGTACATACTTGACATAATAACTAGACTTGACTTGGCATTAGACCACTATGAGGTACTTGTCTCCATTTCGAGTCAACTCAAATCGAATCCAGTGACTTGATCAATGCGAGAGGCTCCGTTTGCTTTTACTTTCGACTTTATCAAAATAAATTGAAACTAGATTTAACACTTTAACTAAAACAGACCTCACAGAGTCAATATTTTTTATCAGTATATTATAGTTGGATCTAAATATTCATTTATCTTAAAGGCATTAAATTAATTCGTATTAACTCTAAATTGTACAAGTATATAAAAAATAACTGTAATGACTAAGTTAAACTTTAATAATTTTAATCCCCCATTAAATGATGTTGCAAACCCTCAAAGACCTTACTTTCCTCCTATTTTTGTTCCTAACAGCTATAACATCACTTTAGACAAGAAATTCAGCCAAGATAAGTCAATTATTTCTACATTAGATAATAGTTTCAAGGTTTTTAGCGTTATTTAATGGTTTCAATACGTCAGGTATGTGTTTTTCCATTAGCGCATTCTATTCGATAAACAATTTTTTATTCAGTAACTTATCTACATATTTGGTATCAAAAAGCTTATATGACGGCATTTGATGAAAATTTTTTGATTCAACTCGAACGATCTTAGTGCCTATCTTTGGCATAAAGTAATAGTGGAAGAATTAATTAAGAATAAATCGGTATTGATTGCCCAATAAACGTCGTCTCTTTAGTCCAGTAACGGTGGTGTAATGAAAATGTAGAATTTGTTTTGTGATTTGAGAGAAATGTTGATGTGTTTGTCTAGTAAAAGGATTATCAAGTCGATAGGCAGACTAATGAAACTATGATGAACATAACGGTGATGTGGAAAAATACTTGTTCGGTCTTCGGTCAGGCTGTTTTTTTGTGAGCAGATAGTAAAAATAGTGTAGAATAATACGTACATTGTTTAAAACATGTTTTAGTAGAAATTCGCGCTTTTCGACTGTAACTTTTTTTCTAACGATTCTACAAAGAAATGGTTAAATACTTTTTTGTTCACCTTTAAAAGATCTACAAAACTACGTCTCGAATGTCAAAAATATCAATCCGGTCAAAAGTTACTAGCAAAAAACCGCTAATTATGCCATTTTAAATAAACAATAATAAATCGCGATGTTATCATAGAAGCTTCTTCGGATAACACTCAATCATACCTCACTGCAGACAAATAATTTATGCGAAAGCCGGAAGTGGATTAATTCGCGAGTTATGGCCTTATAAACAAATGGACTAATTAACGATCTGTACAAATCTGAGCGGTACCCGATTTTTTTTATTGGTAGATTTAACAAAAAGCTATCGAGTTCCATTGTTTTTTTTCCAAAAAAATGCATTTTATAGTGACGGGAAATTATTTAAAAAATTTCATTAGTTGCAAAATTAAATACGTCGTAAATTTATAAATTTTTTTAAAATATTTTATTACATGTACTAAAAGAGCTTAAAAAAACTTCAATTTGAAAAAAGATTCGTCACGATTCGTTAATAAACAGCGGAGTTATGGGCTTTCAAAGTGGAAATGGTAATTTTCGGGCTAGATTTCCTGGTCTAAGATCCTTAAATCTCTTAGCTTGCGTTAGGAATATGATTAGTTTGAATCGCAGAGAACTGAGTTAAACATAGCTGAGTTACTTGGCGTTGGATAAATGTAATTCTATATTTCACTTGAATTCTTACAGCTGTTGCTCACCTATGACTCTCTTAGGAAGGAACATTTTTAACTACAGAAGAAAATTATAAACCAAAGTCTTGATAAGGCTGTCCACTGGAACTTAACAGAAGGTCAATAAAAATATTTGTAAATTGACCCAATAAATTTCTTGTTCTGTCCAATTGTCCAAGTTAGATTTAGTCAAGTAGTACTATGCATTTATTATAGATGTCGCTCACCTGATAATCACGTTATGTTTCGTCAGCGAGGAAAACTATATCGTATACTCCGAAAAATCTACACCCGCAACGAGATGTCGACTAAATCGTCGTTAAAAAAAATTATCTACTGCCATTTACCGACTTCCACGTGTCCAAAGTACATCGGGGCGACTAAGGAATGACGCCTCCGCAATAATTATTGTTTTGGTTTGCGTTAGACGCAAATCATCGGCTCGTGCTTCGAATGTGATTTATCGCGCCTTATATGGTCGAAATCGCTGTTTTGTAAGACCGTCACATGTTTTAAGTGTATATTTAATGCCGGCATTAATATTATTATCGAGAAATAGAAAGAGACGGGCGCGCGAATAGCTATCAATAATTAATGAGAGCTACCTAGTTTGTTCTTCCGAGAAGAAAAATTGGGTGCCGGTGCGGGAGTCGAGGTAGCGACCGCAATAGGACATTTGCGGGGGATCTCTGGGTTAGCACATTTGGTGAATCCGAAAATTTTGTCAATTTTGCGAGAAGGAATGTTTCAAACAAAGTACGAACATTTTTCGCATTTGCACTATTTTTTCCATAGACATTATTTAATTAAATTAAAAAAGTCTGAAAAATTAAAAAAACAGACCCTCAAAAGTATTTGAGTGATAACACAGTCCCGCAAAAAAAGAAAAGTGGTCTGTTCCAAAGATTAGACCCATATATCCTTATGTATGTATTTTGAAGCGTTGAATCTGAATACATGGCCAGAAATGCTCCATCACCATTAATTTTTTTTAAATCGTCAAAAACCTCATTGAAATACCTACAGAAAATGTGAAAAATTATTCTTTTCAAAACAAGAGGAAGGCCAACTGCACCATTCATCCCTGTTTCTTATATCTATAGACAGAAAGAATCACTATAAACAGAAAGTATGGCCAAAAAGAACAGATTTCCATCCAGGGTTGAAAAATATCCGCGAACCCTTAGTTGATCGTTCAAATATTCTGATTCTACCTCTCCATATTAAACTTGGTCTCGTAAAATAGTTCGTTAAAGCTTTGGACAAAGATTGTGACTGTTTTGGATATTTAGGAAAGAAATGTCCGGAAATAAGTGATGTTAAATTGAAGAAGGTATTTTGGATGGTCCTCAAATCCGTACCGTGTTCAGAGACGAAAAATGTATCACAAAAATGAATGATACTGACAGAGCAGCATGGCTAAGTTTCAAGAAAGTCATTCAGAATTTCTTGGGGAAGCAGAAGAGTGGGGATTACCAGAATTTAGTTGATGAATTGTTGGAAAACTTCAAACAGTTGCCCTATGTACTTCTGTTGGATGCTTATAAGGAAAAACAAGCCAA